CAGACTGTGGGAAAGGCAGGAAAACTCTAGCTACAACCATTTCCATCTACTATACATAACACATGCGCACACACGCGAATGCACACACAAATACAACACAGTCACATGACATGGATAAGTTAAAATACATACCTTTCTATCTCAATTCTCAAAGTTCCTCAACTCTTGTACCATAACCCCCATCTTAATGTCTGCATATTTAAAAGCTTTTTATAAAGTGGTACCTTTACAACCAGGAAACACAATTTTCATGATCTCTCTGGCTTCCTGAACTCTATAAGAAGCACACCTGTGCTTTCCCACCTGTGGTTCTGGGTTAGGCAGGCAAACAGCAGAGGAATTATCATCCTCATTGACAGCCTGATGTGGGCCTCACATGCTGTAAGTAGCAGAATGAAAAGTTTTGCTCTGGAAATTATCTGACCATTTAAAATACACTGTGGTGAGTCTAGTGTACACCATTCTTTTTAAAGAACTGTGTGATAAAAAATTTAGAGAGGAGGTATGATGAACAAATAATTATATACAGTTTTCTTTTTCTCCCCTTTCCCCAAATATATTTCAGAGTATGTTTAAAGACTCAGGACTAGGAGACATCTTCCCATACACTGGATTTCCCATTCAAGATTTCCATACTCCTTCTAGGGCAACATGGTTTTCATCTGTGGTATAGTATACTAGCCTGTACTATTAGAAGTTCCTTCTGAATTTAGGAGAAGGTCAGCCTTCTTGCTATTCCCTCTAAAAGTAATGTATAAATGGAAAACCCTCTGCTGCTGTTCACATTGACTTAGATTTTTCTTGCTTATTTCTGTTACATCTGCTTGCAATGCACAGAGGTAAAGAGAGAATCAATTTCCTCTTCTGTGAAACAGGGGTGGGGTGATGGTATTAGGTCCAAGGGATCTCCAAGGTCCCTTCAAACTGTAAAATTTTATGATTCCAATAATGAAAGTTTAAACCACATTAGTAAGAGTAATAGTTTTTCTTAGCTGAGTCTATGGCACAGTTTTCTTAACTGCCCTACTTCGCCTTACAAAAACTCACGAAACTATGATTTTTCTTTTCCAAATCTTACCTATAGTGTTACTCTTAATTCTCCGACTCTGAAATGCCAGTGCTCTGTAGCATATTGAAAATCGTATTTCTATGTACAGCCAACTTTCCCTCTTAGGGAGAATAATTTGCAATTCATCTTTACCCCCTAGAGTGTGTTTCCTCATCCCTCGTATCTGTTTAATAAAGCTGGTTGTACAACTTTTGTAGCTCACATGCTATTCTGGAAATGCTCACACTGTACACTATGCAACTTAGAATCATGTTGTGTTAAACCATGGTAAGGGCTCTGCTATTGGTTTCCAACTGGGGTGTTTTTGCCCCCTAGTGGACATTTGACACGGTTTGGAGACTTTTTGCTGTCATAACAGAGAGGAGGGTACTACTCACATCTTGGTGGTAGTAGCTAAAAACATCTTGTAGAAGTTACACCATGTTCTCAACACCAACAAAACCAACAATAACAAAGAGCCCCCTAATACATTAAGAATGTTGAGATTAAGAAACTCTGCTCTTATTTTATAATAAAGATCCTAAAACACTGATACTTTTTCAGGATAATTCAAGCCCTGTGCTTTTGCCCCATAAGCTGACTCTCAAAAAATCTTGCAGAAGAGACAGAAGTGTTGGACCAGCTGTACAATTGAGAAGACAGGAGTTTGGACGAGTCTTAGTCAATGCCATTCCAGCTCTGTGCTTGTGAATGGAGCTGGTCAAAAGTGACCCTTGTTGTGCGTGGGAAGAAATGTCATGCCATTTTGCTTTTTTTTAAGATCCTGACATTCACTCACCAAAACCTTTGGCGGATAACTACTCTTCATTATTGGAGATTGGCAATTATTGTACATATGAGCTTCATGTATGTGAGCTTCAGGTTCTACATTGTCCTGGGGAAACAAGACTGCCCACCAACTCACTCTTAGTACAAAGTGCTTGGTGTGCAGATATGCCCACTAAATAATTCAGTGGACCATGGTTAACTGACATCATTCCACAGCTACAGACTGCTTTTCTTTGCTAAAAAAAAAGTTCACTGGCTTTTTTTCTAGAAGTTTCCAATGCAGGTGACCACAGACTTAACCATGAAATACTTCACTAAATATCTATGCATTGCATTTAGCTGTCTGTTTCATATATGTACAGAGGTCGTGCCCACACTACTTGATCTTAGTAGGGACCTAGGTTGGCATAATATATGAATCCTATTCCACTTCTGGAAATCTTCTCTTTTTGTAATACACATTTCATTCCATTTTCATTCTAACCATTCCTGCATTGTGTTTTAAATAAATGTTTTGGAAAACAAACATATGCTCCTTGTATCCCCCAAACATCATAATTCCAGATCTTGGTGACATAGACCAGGATAGCTTCTTGTGATAGACACTAGGGAAAATAAGCTTTCATTACTATGCTGTGAGAGGAAAAATGAAAATACAGTCAAAATATAAGTGCCCATATTAAGAGATCATGGCAGGGCCGAGGAGTCCTTCTGTACAGCACTTCTCTACAGACATGTGTCCTTAGGATCAATCCTAAGCACTGCACAACAGGTTAAAAACTTTTTAAAGCAATCATAAAATCACATGAGAAATTTGTTTTAAACACGGTTTGTCAATTCCTGCATCCTGCTCAGTATCATTACTTTGCATAGTTTGAAGATGCACACTTTGACTGTACTGTTCATTGTTCATCCTGTATCAGAGTAAAAGAAGTGTTGCCTACATAGGTAGGCTCACATGTATCCTCCGAGGTAAGGTGTAGCAGTGTTCAACCCAGGAAGGAAAACAGAATGCACAGAGCAGTAAAGTGTATTAAAAATATAAAGCATAGTATTGAAGTTGGTACTAAGGAGGTGTGGGCTATTTCACAAATATTTAATTTTTATATACACATTGATTTATCAAGAAGATTGTTTTTATTAGATCTAAGAAAACACTATTATAAGCAACCTTCATGAGAGTACACTAATGGCATTTTCTTGAACTGTATAGTTCCCCTGCAGCAAAATATGATATTTCACTGATGTTGGGACAACCTTACTTCTCAAATTCTGAGAAAATGGCTTTATGTTCAGATTTCCTTATGGAAAAGATGTTCTCTTATGGGTTTATAGCGCTAGTACCAACTTACATTTTTTTTTTCATACAGGGAAGTATGTTGAGTCTTTAAGTTTAGATTATACTGTTCAGTTTTGTAACTAAAAATTATTATGTTTGTTCCTCAATTCATTTTCAGCTGAGCAAATATACCAATTACTTTAATTTAGGTATAAGTCTTCCTAAGTAAAGTATGTCCAACTGTGTCTGTGTAAGATCTATTTTAATGTGAAAGTAAACAAACAAACAAACAAAAAACAAACAAACAGAAAAAAGAATAGCCTGTTCCATTCTGACATCATTGTACTAAAGACAAGTTGGTACTCATCTCTTAAGTTTTCTGATAGACACAATTGAAGTGATAGCAACAACTAATGGATTTAATTTGTGTTTATGCTTTGAGAGTTTCTGCTATATTAAATTAAGAATCTTGAGAGGAGGCTCTTATTCAGTATTTTGGGGATGATCTACATCCTATCACATGGATCCTCAAAAGACAGAGGTAACTGGAATTTTGAAGCATACAGAAGAGACGGTGATGGGATGGTGGTGTCAAGAAAGACAGCCAGAGACCAGTGGGCTTAACCAATGTCTCTAAGCTTGGTGACCTGAGTTCAATACTTGGAACTCACGTGGTGGAAGGTACCAACCGACTCACACGAGTTGTCCTCTGACCTCCACACAGATGCCCTGGCAACCCTGCCTTCATTCCAAATAAATGTAAGAAAAGTAAGAGAATGATGCTAAGAAACCAAGGGATGACAATAACCTTCAGAAAAAGAGATAGTCAAAGAACATATTTTTTGTAAAGCCTCCAGGGAGAGCACAGTCCAGCCGTTACCCAGATTTTGGCTGTGTGGAGCCGATTTTGTACATCTGACTTCCAAGGCTGTGGGAGAATAAATTATTGCTGTTTTAAGGCAACAAGCCTGCAATCATGTGTTAGAGCAGTTCTGAAGACTAATACAATACGCTATTAATAATGATGCTCAGTGATGCATCTCGACATTTTATTTAGAAGAGCTGCCAATGTCTGGGTACAGGGCGGGTGTGAGAGATGAACAAATAGCATCACTGAGAAGCCAATATCTCACAGACCTTATCTAAGCATCCAATTTAACGTCCAGGATAAGGCTTCACTAAGGTAAAGTGCTGTGTTCTCAATTAAGGGATCCGGTCCCACGCCAGAAGCTAGACATGACTCATTGGCAATGGCAAAGAGCTCATGAGCTATGGTAAGTGTTTTCAGGACAGCTCTACAGGAAATTGATAGTTATTAATATTTAATGATTCATTTTATCCTTGGCAGCCTCCCTATCTGATTACAGACAAGTTCACCCACAGAAGTCTTTTTTGGTCTTGAAAATATTTTAATTTTTGTGTATATGGGTAATGGAATTATTTTTAACTAAAACATTTTAAACTGTGACTTTGTATTGACATAGCTGAGCTGAAATATTTATTGTCAGTATCTGTTCTTAAAACCTCAAAATAGACAGGCATAATTAATTAAGTATTTATATATTGCTTCATTGCATCATGAATTTGAAATGATTAGGAGATATAATAAAAACTCAACAGTTTTTTTTAAGTGGGCAAAAAAAAGAAACACACAATTGGGAAACTCAAGACTTATTTTTAACACTGTGTTAACTTATATGACATGAATACCCTAGTCATTTATGTGATTTTTCAGATTTTATTTACCTTTATTGTATTTATTTATTTTATTTTATTTATCAAACCTATTAGTCTTCTTATGCTGAAATTAAGCCTGTATATTTCTTCAACTCTATCAGTCTTTTATGTTTTTAATTATAAAAATTAGAACTGTAAAATTTCTTAAAGCATCAAGGGAAATAATGTTGATGTTACCAGAATGAGAATCTAGACAGTAACTTCAAATAAATAGCCATGAGATAATCATTATAGTTTGGACCCAAAATACCTCATAAAGTCCTTGTGATATGGCTATAGTCTCCAGAGGGTGGCATTATTTGAGGTCATGGAAATGCCAAGCGATGGGACCAGGTCAAGGAAGTCAGTCATTGAGAGCTTTCCTGGAAGTGTGTATCTTAACATAGTCTCTTCTGACAATTCTGTCCTTCGTTTCTTGGGTACCATGATGTGCACAGTTTTCTTCTACTGTGATATCCTGATTCATCATAGGTCCAGAAACATGGATCAAGTGACCACCAATAGAAACTTCTGGAACTGTGAGCCAAAGTTTTTCTTTTCTTGATCAAATATCTTTTCTCTTGGGTACTTTTTTATAGGAACCAAAAAAAAAAAAAAAAAAACGAGTAATGGAGACATTTCCTAAAGGGAATATTTCATACTATAAACAATATGAAAAACACATGCTTTAGAGCTGGTAGAATGAATAAGATACAGCCACTGTCCTGAGGTTCACAGAGGGTAGGTAGGGCTTGGTGGGTTTAGGAAAAGTAGAGAAGTCTCACTCAGCAGCACAGATACCCACCCAGGTGGATGCTGTCACTTCTTACCATTGAATCAGCTGTTCAGCAATACCTCTTTGTGCCTTCTTAGGCATAGAAATGATACTTCTACTTTGTGGCTTTTTACCTGTATGCCCATGCCTAGAGTTCTCTTTTCTTCTGTCACAGATCACATCTTTCAGAAGCAGATCCAGACCCAAGGAGTCAGAGACGTGCTATAATTTAGTGGAGAGGCTCAGAGGA